TAAAAAATAAAGAGCAATTCATTAACCAGAGCAACAAAGATAGTCTCCAAAGCAAAACAAAAAACCAAAAAAATAAAAATAAAAAGTTAAACAGGATCGGTTCCAGCTAAACCAAAGAGCCACTCTAGACAATCAAACAAAAATAAACCCCTAGAAACCTTTCTTAGCTAAAGTACAACCCATCACAGTTTCTGTTGATTAAAGAAAATGAAACAGATAAAGGTCCGATTACACAAGCAATATCTTTCAGAAGAGAAATAACCTCAACTGAACTGGGGTGATCTTTTTACTGACAGCTGAGAGTAATTTCTTGCAATCAGAGTCCAATGTAGCTGTGTTTAACAAGCTGAATTTGTCTTTCAATCTCATTCCAAAATTCAAGTTGAAGCCATTAGTTTTTTTTTCCCAATCCCAAATTCTAAAGGTGAAGGGTGGCCACCTTAGAATTTCGTCAACCATTTTCAAAAGGAAAGTTATAAATTAAAGGGGACGACATAACCCGCCTTACCCGGCCTAAACCAAAGTACATCTAATACTCTCCCTCACAAGCTCAATCTATCCCCTATTTAAAAAAACTGTAAGACTTAAAACTATAAAAACTCAAGAAACAAAGCTCATCAAATGATGAAAGAAGGTTGCACCGCATAGCAGCACTAATCAAGCCGGAAATGAAGCATCCGCATATAGTCTTCCTTCAACAGAGTTGAAAGACGTGCGAGGAAACGATTAACATCATAAATAGCGAGTCTATCCTCCTTCCCAGGGAGTATGCAATTAAAAGCTTGACATGCATGTTATTAAGAAGAGTTGAGCCATTAAAATTGGATTGGTGCTACGACTTTCTTCCTATTAAAACCATAAACCGTCTATGATCATTCCTCTTGGACAACTTTGCCACGTGGACTTGTGAAGCAGTCCCTTTCTGGATTGAGACATGCGTACGTGGCTATATATTCATGTTTCAATGGCTGTATATGACCGACCGACAAACTAATGACCAATGTCAACTAATTTGTAGGCTTGTATATCATCGAAGTTCCATTTTCCACTTGGGTTCAAAATGCAAGATATCTTTTCTAAACTTATTGGCCACGTTGCTCTCACATATCCTCGAGAACAAAAACAATGATTCTCACATCCACGGTGAGTCCTCCCGGCGACCTGTAGTTCCCTCTAGGGTCGGGAATCTTATATACTTGTATAGATCCAACAAGGGCTCCACTAATTTGAGAAGGCATCTGCTCTCTGTTTGACGCTGTTTGGGACCCTTATTTGTGGGGCCCTGTTCATTTGAGAGGGCTCCATTCTTAGTCTTATATTTGTATAGTATCTATATATGTTTTAACAATAGATACTTGAACACTGTTTTAACACTTAATTATTGAGCATCTATGTATCTGCAGTATCTGTGTGTTCTGGGAGGCTGTGGGATTGCTAAATGAACCAGGGATCATGGGGATCATCCTCACACAGGATTGCTAACACCGTTTTAATAGTCTTTTGCAACTTTGTATTGGAAATATCTGTCCATGAAATAAAGTATATAAGAATGGAGATATTTTTAATGCAAGACAGTAAAAACTGCTCGAATGGGCTTTGCCCTGACTAAAATCAAACTTGGTTGAGACATAAGCTAGGTTCCTTCATTCGCTAATCATGCATACAGCAAGTTTCAGAAATTAAAATCTGAACACAAGGGGGGAATAAGGCTAATGTGACTAAAGAACTGAACAAATATTGCAAATGATTCCCTATCTATCTGATGGATGGTCCTGACTAATCACATTCTCTCTACACATGGCAGCTGAAATTAAGCTAGCCATCTAAGGAAAGAGCAAAATTGACCTAACCAGAAAACCTTTCCCAATCCTCTCCAGAAGTGTGCCTTAGGGTGAAGATTGTCGAGACTATTGTCATCCAAAATACTGTCTACCCCTGTGAAAAACCCAATCATCACAATTAGTGCCTTCTTGACAAGGGCATATCTAAGAATAAAAATTTTGTCATGTATCGGCCAATATGTATCGTATCAGAGCCTTTTCGATACGCCTCTTCAGGGGTGTTTTGGATCAGTGAGTGGTTCAGGGGTAGACCTACCACTTTGAACCAGTTTCAAAAATAAAAAATAAAAAACAGCACTGATACAGGCTGATACGCCTTACCGATATATCACCCTGTATCGATATTTTGAACCTTGGGTATACCATTTCAATGAATTAGAGGATCCATTATTCATAAGAAAATATTAATTATAAATACAGTTCTTTAGAAATTTTATTTGTAGGTGATATGTTAAGTTAATTTTAATAAAAGAATATTTTATAGTATTAATTAAGGTTCTTTTCACTTTATAAGTTTTTTACTCAGGTAATTGCATTTATCCATATTCTTTTATTTCTTAGATAATAAATTAGATAAGGACCATTTTAATCATCAAAATCCATTATTAAAAGTGGTATTTTTAAGTTATTTAGCTATGGTACATTCAAATACTTATACTTGTTTATAAAATGTAAGGGGCCTATGTACCTGTTAGTAAGTTAATTAAGGACCGGAGGATGCACGGATATCCATACATGAAAAGATGGCCATCACATATATTCTAATTTAGAGCTATTGGGGGGTTGAAGCGGATGTTTACTGCTCACCGGCATGATGCTTTCACTTCACTACCTACACCAACAACCCTTTATTTACAAAGGTTTCTCCTCCAAGGTGATACTAAAAATTGAAGAAGGGGGAGAAGAAATCCAACTCATACAAGAATTTCAGTCTTTTCAGAGAAAGAAAATTAAGATTGTGCAAGAGAGTACACATTGATATTTTCACTGAACATATTGGTATTTACATTCTTCACAAACTGAGCCTTGAACAATTGAGTTGTCCTGGTGCTTTAGAGCTTGCTGACAACATCAAAACATACGGTTCGAATCTCCTGTGAACACGATTACAGGTTTCTTTTCTAACAACCAATCACAAACCAACCATTTACTTTATTAAGTTTACAACTTATGTTAAGTGGGCCCTGTTTACGATACAAGGGTGGGGTCTGTGTAATACTAGTCTCAGTAAATAAAAAAAAAAAAAAGAAAAGAAAAGAAAAAAAAGCAATGCCACTAACTGTAAATGAGTAGTTTATATATTTCATCTGTGACATAATCGGACCAAATCATTTAATTTTCTCCCCGCAGTAAGTACTGGTTTGTGAATTGTGAATGGTTGTCATGTATGTATAGGTGGGTTACAGTAGAGCTCGACTCATTCCAACCCTCTGAAGTCCAAAACAGATTAAACTATGTCCCTCTTTATCCTGGCTACTGATCGACTTTCTGGCTTGGTGTATCTTTTTCTTTCCTTTACATGATTCCAATTGGTATGAGGTTACTTGAGTCCTCCTGAATAGGATCAACCACACGTTTATCCATTTTAAACTCCCATGGATGAAGACCACTACAGCTTTCATAGCTCCTTTTTCTGGTGAACTTTCTCAGCTCCTCACATTCTTTTCTTCCTTTTCTTTCACTCTTTAAATAACTTATATTTTAATTACTTACCAAAAGTTATGCAAGTGGAAGCTAGTTTCGCGTGCTTAAGCAACAATGTCCCATAACAACAACCGATCTGTAGGTGTTGCAACCAACTAGCCAACAACTAGGACTTAAATAAAATGTAATTTTATCGAGTTCAGTTTATGGAGGTGGCTTCTGGGTATTGGAATGGGCCGGAGGACGTCTGGCCAATTACATAAGAACAGAAGGAAAAGAGTGATCTCATCAAGATGCAAGTTAAAGGGTAATTAACTTTTGGAATCTCCAGCCTGTAACAGATTTTAATTTGATGTTACAGTCCTTTCTTTAATGCTTTTCCCATTTGACTTTTGAGTAATTAGTTATGTTGGCCAGTGAAGGATGGATTAGCCGGAGTTGACATCAGCTCGAATTGGATTGGACCGTTGGAGGACCAAAGGTGGCCAAACTTGAACAACCTTTCTCTTGCCCTCTTTGAAGATGTTATTAACTCAGTTGAGAAATCTACAAGGGCCACTTCCAATGTTATCCCATAGATTATTATTCGGATTGAACGATTCATGTGCCACAGCAGAATCTGGGTTGATGGTCAAAGAGATTTTTTACTGAAAAACACTTGCGTTGGTCAATACAATTAATTGCTATTTCTACTTAAAATGTCAAATTCGATGTTACTCACAGATATGCATTTTTCTAGTTCAAATGACAGATATCGGCCTGTATCGAAGATCATTCTTCTTTTAAAAAAAAAAATGGTTTAGAGGAATGGGTTAATTTAGGCTGGTCTACCCCTCAACCAGGTTAACCCGACGACCCTACAGGGGCGTATTGTTGAAATTTTGAACTATATGATGTGGCTCACAAATTTGTATTTCATCAACCCAAAAAACAATGGCAACGTAATGCCACCGTACCAAACCCACCAACCCCACCCCCAATTGCTTCTTGATTTGACCTTATTTGGAACCATGGAGATTAATTTCACAAGGTTCGATCCGACCTCACCAAGAATCAAGAATGCCACACCTACACCTCTAATCATGCATAATATATTAAAAAAAAAAACGGTGGAGATACTGTAGCTAGATTGAACATTTAATTAAAGTGCTTTGGCTTTATTATATTCATTATAATCAAATATGAAATCTAATAAAATTAAAACTTCAGATTCTTAATTTCAATGTGCCACATCGGAGTCACGATTCAACATCGATCACCAGGTGATTCAGGAAACATCATTTTTGACGATTCAAGACGCCATTAATGTTAATTATAACGAAGATCCAGTTCTGCCGACAGATACCAAGATTTGGGAAAAAAAAATAATTCAACAAGCTAGGATTTGCCGCCGTCAATATTCTATACTTTAATTATTTCGTAACCCATTTTCCTCATGGAATTAAATAAACCATATCATCATTCTCATGGAAATTAATACTGCAAATGCATCTCAATGGATTGGAATTTGTGCTACGTTCTAATTTCTGGATGAAAATGAAGAACTTAATTGGCCCTCATTGCAATGAAAAATAAAATAATTATGAAGAGGAAGAGGAGGACAAAGGCTTTACATTAAAATAATTCAATTATGGGTGGTCTGGAATAATCTTAATCTGGATGGTGAAGTAATTAAAATCGTTGGCCATGGTCTTACTCTTATTACAAGCCTACGCAATTTCTTGAAGTAGTGATTCCGCCATCGACAACAAGGTTATGGCCACTCACATATTTGGATTCATCACTAGCAAGGTAAAGAGCAGCCTCAGCTATGTCTTTAACGGTTAGGGTTGCACTCTTAAGGTTGGCAAGGCTTCTCACAAACTCCTCCATCTTCCCAACTTCCTCCTCACAGGGTATCCCTACTATGTCCATACAGTCCTGTACGTCGTTGCATCTCCTCCATGCATTAACAAGCATGGAGGTGGCCACCCCAAATGGAGAAATGCAGTTAACCCTGATCCCGTACCTGCCCAGTTCACATGCCGTGTTCTTAGTAAGCCCCACAATGGCATGCTTTGAGGCTGTGTATGCGTGAGGACCCAACCCTCCCAACACACCTGCTACACTCGCCGTCGAGATTATGCATCCACTCCCCCTCGGCACCATCACCCGTGCCGCATGCTTCATTCCCAGTGCAACCCCTCTCACATTCACTCTCATTACACGGTCGAATTCATCTGCATCAAAGTTTATGATGCTTTTGTGCTTTGATTGATTCCCCAGGACCCCAGCATTGTTGAAGAGGATGTCGAGACGGCCGTGTCGTGAGACCGTGGAATTTATCAACTTCTCTACATCTTCTTCCAGGCTGACATCGCAATGAACGTAAGTCACCGATGGGGCTAAGGATCTAGCAAGAACGATTCCCAACTCATCCTCAACGTCGGCAATGACCACCTTCGCACCTTGTCTTGCAAACAGCCTCACCGTCGCTTCTCCTATCCCTCTGGCACCTCCGGTCACGATTGCAACTTTACCCTCCAGCCTACATCGTATTAATTAGTCACACACAGACAGAGAGAGAGAGAGAGAGAGAGAGAGAGAGAGATGAAGACATTTAGTAATCTTAGAATAACCTAGCTATCCCTCTTCCTTCAGCAGGAACTAGGAATATATAGTACTCATTAGTTAAATGCAACTTTTGTTTTCTGCCCTTAAAAGAATGGTCTTCATATATATTTATATGCATAAATTACTAGTCAAAAGAAATACCACAAAGATATGTTAGTATAACCTCATTATATTACGAATCAAATACTGTGATATATATAAAACTTGAAAGCATAAAAATTTGTTTTAATTTGTCAATCAACCCTATCATCACACGAGGACGCTACATATTTTAAATGGCTGCTGCCCATAAGAAATACAATCTTTATATATAGCGTCCAATGTCTTCCTCTTGCTATACTAGGTGTTTTCCGGTGGTCCGGCTTGTCGGCAAATGCAACTTATGGATTAGAAACCGGCGAATGATTAAGTCACCCATCAACTTGTAATACATAGCCGATGAATACCACAGCCGGCACACAAAGACACCATTGAGGTCTACTCAGTTCCTTGAGTGATCTGGCTGTTTATGCAGAGAGAGAGAGAGAGAGAGAGAGAGAGAGAGAGAGAGGTTACCTTCTAGGGGTGGAGGAGAGAGAGCTATTTTCCCGACTCAAGACATGGATTCCTTGTAGTGTTTTCTCCGGCATCACTTGAACAGACATGGTCTCTGGTTGATTACAGAAAAGCGGATGAGAGAGAGAGAAAGAAAGAGAGGGAGAGAGAAGAAAGAGGAGGGCACAAATTATTGTTGAGGACGTGTATGTATGGAATAGGATAGCAGTAGCTAGGGGAATTTATAGCGATCCCGGTATACATTGGCTGTTCTTCAGCCGTGGAAACGAACCACGAACATTCTTGGTAGCCTCCGCCCCATTGTCGCTCAAAGCTTAATTTTTTCTTTCCGTAATTACCTAAAGTACCCTTCCATCTTACCTTAAAAGTCAGCGCGGCGAACAAAGGCGCCTTTTTGCCCAGTTGGTCTTGGTCAAGGACTCAAACTCTCCTTTTCTTAGGTTCTCGACCGTTTCGTTTGTGAATGAACTGTGATGGTGAAACGTCAAAAAGACCGTACAATTGTACGAATGTACAAGGATATGATGGTAATCTCGCCTCTTATGAATCACTTCAAGAAATAAAGATAAGATCAAGGCGTTCTACAAAAGTATCCGATACGTATCTCACCTTTTATTTGTTTTCGTCTTTTTCCTTTTTTTTTATTTTAGTAAAATGAAATCTCCCTTCCTGATTTCCTTCTTCTTTCTCGCAGCAATTTAAATGCCATAAACAAATCATACAGATACAGTCTGGAAACAATAGAGAGGGCTCCGTAATTGGGTTTTCCTTTTCTGGCATTCAAAGCTAGCTCAGACTCAGACGTATTTCTCTGGACTCTGCACTCTGCAGGACTCATAGAATCTCTATTTTATACTTCTTGTCGACTTCTCAGAACTTACAGCACTCAGAAGCCAAAAGAGTAAAGACCCTTCTCCACACCTGTATGTCGGTGGAATGGGCTCGACCCCTGGAGGTGCTTACAATTACTGCATCGTTCTTAGTATTCTTTGTCTACTCTTTTTCTGGGGAAGTGTACATTGTTTTTGGTCTAGATCTCAGAAGATGGTGATTGAGGAGCTCATGCCATCAGAATATGCAGGGGAGAAGAATATGCGGTCAGACCAGGAAGTTGGGAACTTAAAAATAATTTGTTAATTAAGCATGGTAGTAGCTGGAACACACCAAGAAATGATAACAGCAACAGAATCGATCGACCTCTTCTTATATTTAATGATGGAACTTCTGAACTTGCTGAGAGACCAGGTGTTTTATGCCTTTGTTGCCTGTACCTGTTGTATCCCCAACACTCAACAGTTCAAGATTTTGAGGAGATATGTTCTGTTTTGGTTTGGGTTTCCCATTTCCAATCCATGATGGTTAATTTAATGGTGATGGCGCCATGACATGACATGACATGACATTAGGGTTCCAACTACATCCATCAAGTCATCTCAACATATGTAAGAACCTAAAGCGGGTTGCATGGGCTTACACCCATCTGATTGGGATCATCAGATCAATTAACACACACTTTTGCAGCTCCTTTGAAGTTTGAATTCCATCCGACCAGATAGCTTGCTTTATCTTCCCTGTTTTACTCGTCTTTCACATATTTGAAATAGTGGTTGTTAGTTTGTTGCTTTGCACAATTTGACTAGAGAAGGGAAGGCGACCCTAGTTTATGACCAAGCCACCTTGTTTCAACGATTCAACCTTCAAAGTTCAAACTTCAAACTACTTGTCTTGAACCTAATGTATTGTCTCGCTAAAAAATACCAAAAGAATTAATTAAAAAATAATTTTGTTTGGTATCTTTGATTTCACTTTGGTAGAGTTGGTACAAGTTCAGCAGTTTGGAGATACCTTGGCAAGACCAGATTTTGTAGCTGGTAATGTTTTCTCCATTTACTGGAATGGTCAAAAAATCATTGCATGTGCAATAGACACAGAAAAAAGTAGAAATCATTGTATCTGGGTCGGTGCAACTTTTTTAAAGTTGAAAAAGAAAACTGGATACTCATTCATTCTTAGTCAACATTAATCGCATTGCTTCAATTGGATCACCTGAGAAATGAAGGAAGAAGGATGAAGCAGTAGACCACGTAACACGAGGGGTGAGAGACTCCCATATTTAGCCATTCTAGATGCGCACGCGTTGATCGAAAAGTGTAGCTAACCTCTTGCATTATCAGATCAGCTACTAACCATCGTAGCCTCCACGGTGGGATTGAAGATAACCCCGACGAGAGATGTATGGAAATCGTAGCCTCCAAGGTCGCTCAGTGCCGTGGCATGCGCAATGATCTGCCCCAAATAAATTTGTCACGCATCACAATGCCTATACGTGACTGAGTTGGCCCGAGTTAGCATTTTACACTGCTTTTGCCTCGGGCCTTCCGGCTTGGTCGATTCTAATTTTGACTGAATTCTAAACTGAGTCCAACCAAGTTAGACCCTTATTTGGCAATCACTTTTGACTAGTTAATTGGCATTAGGATCAGACACACATAGACAAGGAATTATTGTAATGCAAAATCCAGAAATATAGATTCGAATACCACTTAAAACTAAAAAAAAAAAAAAACAAACAGAAATAAAGAAAGTAAACAGAGATAATACAATTGTGAAGAGTGTAGAATTGTGCACAATACCTCACTAAACCCCAAATCGCTCGACTTCCATCTCAAGTTAAAAATGTCAAAAAAAGGAAAAGCTCCAAAGTACATAATTGTTAGTATTCAGAGTATTCAGGTTGAATTTATAAGCTGAATACGAACCAGGTCCATATTGCCGACCCAAATCATGTATTTCTATCACACATCACTATAAAATTTTACTTTTACATTTTTCTCAACTTAATCCAAAGTGGGTCATAAAATATATCACAGTAGTAAATTCAAGCAATGTTTTTAAAATCAGACTGGACAGGGAACTTTTTGGGTCCAGTTTCCGAGTTGAACGGTCTAATCATCCAATCCAAATGGATGACTTGTTCTGACAAAAATAAAAAAAATAAATCGATCAAAAATAATTGTCCGGGTCGATGATTCAATGGTTCGACCGGAACAGCGATTCGCTGATCAAATCAATAGTTTTTATTAATAAAAAAAATGATTTATGGTAAAAYGAAACCAATCAGGTGACCAATTTTTGGTTTTTCTTATCCGATCATCCCGTTTTGAAAACACTGGATTCAAGGCACAAATATAATAATTATAGTATAGAAGCTGTTAGGGGGAAGAGAAAATAATTTGGGTTTGAGCTCCTAAAAATATATATATATAGCTCCATTAACCATTTGGGGAAGGATTGTTCTTGTTGCTTTCTTATCTTAGCCAGCTTTTCTCTTCAGTTTATCAGAAGACTGAATGAGTGGCTTGATTTGTTTATTGGGCAGTTTCGTGGAACGCGATACGCCTATACCATCTACTTTTGCTTTCCAACACAGTCTATCCTGAAGATCATTATGGGAATAAATCGGCCAGACTAGCGAAAAGTAAATTTTTTTTTAAATTATATGAGCCAATATTTTATATATTTCATGGGAGGCTGAGCCAATTGTTACCTTATTGGGGAAGAAAATGCCCAAGCCAAATTTTACATCTGATTGAGATACCCAAAAGAATGAATGGGCTGGCTATTAAGCCCTCCCTTTTCATTTTTTATTTATCCAAGTTTTTGATTATTTATTTAAAAGCTGGATGTTGGGTTGGATGATATCCTGTTGGCCTTTAAAATAATTGAGCCCAATTTTGTGTCGAGTTGGGATTAGCCAGTCCAAGCATTTAATAGGTTGATGGGTCATGTTATGTAAAAGGCACAAGTATCATGACCCAGGGTACACCATAACCTTTCTTCTTCTTCTATATATTTATATTTGTAAAAGAAAATGATTGAAAGAGAGGTTGTATTTTCAAATCTGTTGTTGGATCTATTCGATTCATCTTCACAAACTCCTCTTACTTTCTAACACGTTGATGGAGGGGACCTTCCAGCCAACATGCACTAAGAAGGTAGGAAGGTCATAGGATGTGAATCCATTTTCATTTTTTTATGAAATTATAAAGAGACAAGTAATTAATGGGGGAAGGAAGCTTATGGCCTACCCTGAAAAAGAAAAAAAATGTGGCCCACATTTTGACTGTAAATGGACCATATTTGGTCCATAGAAACACAGAGAATATGCATGCTCCAGCCCATTAGTTCTAGGCCGGAAGTAAGCCTGTTGGCTGTTGCTGCTTAGAGTGATCCCATTAAAATTCCTAGTTTTATTTCTTTCCTTCTTAAAAATAACAAATCATAAAATTTGGCAACTAAAGCAATAACGGATGAAAACATTTCCAAGCAGTATAAATAAAACTATTGATCTTACAGATAAAGAAAGTAAAAATAAAGCAAAAATAGAAAAGCCAAAGCGCATCCCTCTTTTTCTTATCCTTGCTTATTTCATTATTCATAGGTTAAGTTAATTAATTAGTAGAAAGAATAAGAAGCTATGGAAGATGGACCACCATCGTGTTAGTGACAACCACTTGATTAAAAGTTTTGCTTTCCGGGTTTGGTGTTATAATTTTACTAGCGACTGAGCCCCTGCTACGCAGGGGGCTAACATAGAAGCAAGACACGTAAAGTGTATACAAAATCAATAAGGTAGAAACATAGAATTTAATATCATAGAAAGTAAGTGCCATGGTGATTGATAGGGTGTGTTAATAGTGATTGATATACTTAAATGATGCGATTTCCGCATTCAAATTGTTCAATACGTTACTTAATATCGATATCTACTTCAAAAGTTGGCTCTAGACAATCCAACCAAACTAAATACTCCATGAAGACTCAGCTCAATTTTCGTGGCTTAAACCTCCCAATACCTAGCGAAATGTATGTTATTATAGTTGAAAATCATGAATACTTTCTACATTAATTTCATTAGACTATCGCAAGCATATATCCCTCCACACCACACCCCATTTGCCCAAGTGCACCATGACAATTCCATCCGTTGCATTGAAATGGGTGTGATGTGGAGGGATATATGCTTATACCTTATATAGTCGGTGCAAATGAACTTAAAAAAGAGAAAGAAGAGGACAAGAAGCACAGTTAGGAGAAGGCAAGAGTATAGGAAAGGTCGATGAAGCCGACAGCTGGAGAAGAAATCCAACCAACGGAGAACAATATCCGACGACGAAAGACAGAGCGAGGTACACAGAGAGA